ACTGTAACTATTATTACAACCTTCTATGCTTGTGTGCAAGTTGAAAGAAAGTCCATTAAACAACGTGTGAATTCATTCGCATGAGTACCTTGTGCCTTGTGTCACAAGTGATAGATGGCATCATGCTAGGTCACATTGAAGATTTTGTACATGAAGAGCAGGTGGAATTGATAGAAAACGCCAAAAGTACACCTTGAAGATTCATGCAAATCATCATAATCGTCTTGTTGGCCAAGAGCAAAGGTTTTTTATCCATGTCGTACCCTCTCTTTGTCATTTTCTTTTTTCACATGTGAGATTCCCACTTGGCCTGGGTGATGTTGTCAGACTCAAAACTCACATTTAATTCATATAGGCATAGATCTTTTTTGGCTTATATATCGACATGTTCTTTCCATCTGGCACCATATTAATTCATTTGAATAGTCTGACATACAAGGCAAATTGTCCCGGACTAGTGCAGGCTGTTTTGAAAAACCGATGAAAGCTCCGAAAAATTACAGAATCAAGGATCAAGAAAAAGTTTTCCACAGCTTTGCTGGCAATAGTAGGAGGGGACCTTCGGAAGCATGTCCACAAATGTTAACAGAAATTCCTTGGCTTGCTGGCCCCTTGTTTATTGTTTGGTGATGCAACTGGCTGCGACTCTTCTAATGCACTCTTTGCAAAGCTGGAGGATCCAGGTTGTCATTGCAACAAGTGCCCTAGAAAGTAATTCAGGATCAGATAGACAGACAGAGTCACCGACGATGAAGTAATTTAAAGAGAACAGTACAAAAGAAAGGAGTGGAGATGGATTGGATTGCGCACCATCGTGAAATTAAGCAGCTCCATAACAAAGAAATCCACTGGTCAAACGATCAAGTGGAAGTCAACATGGAACCTGTAGAAAAGTCGTTGAGAATGCAGACAAAAGTGGAAAGACACTTGAAGGATATGAAGAAGCTTGCCCCGGGAGGGAGCGGAAAGTGTTTGTCCGTAGGCTACAAGGCTACAAGGTGAGACAGGTGATATGAAACTGGCATGGGCTCTTTTAGAGCATTTTACTATGGGTGAGCTCGGTCATAGCTGATATCAACATACTCCTGCAAACTTTGATCTTCTGGTAATTCTGTTTCAGCTAATAAACCCTAATGTGCGTTTTTCATCTGGGTGTGTCGACTTTGCAGTACTCTTTCGAGTTGAGAAGACCGTTCACACAGGTCTTTCTCTTTCCCTACGTCAAAGTCCAAACAAAGACAAAGATCTAGCTGTTCTGCCTTTGTCTTTCAATAGTAAGTAGTCATTTGATTTTGTTTAGCGATCTTATCTGTGTTTCAATTCATTATTTTTTAATAGTCCTATTTCTTGAATTGTACTGCTTATAGATAGATAGAGAGATCTAATAGACAGAGATAGAGAGATGATAGAGATAGAGACAGATGAGAGAGACTGACGATAGTCAGTGTGACTGTGTTGTTACGTTTACGTGACAGACAGCAGCTGTCTTGCTTACCCTGCATTTTCCTGATTCCAAAGAAGCTTTCTAGGTGGGAATCTCTTTACAGTATCCTACCTTTAACAGGTAAAGACAACTGGGATTTTACTCCTTTCACTGAAGCAATTTACAAACTCCAACATTACTTAGACCAATGTTTGTTTTCATTGACGAATATCGCCATTTTGGAAATGACTTAAACGTACAAGGTCACGGATTGGTTAGATCCGGGTACGTAATATGTACCTGCACTTCATTGGTCAAAAGCTCGGGAGGTTTCATTATTATTTTAGAATTATGTTTGGACACATTTTGTACTTTGTAAACTTTAAAATCTGTATTACGAATAAAAAAATTTTTAGAATCTAAAATTCAAGCCTGAATTGTAATAATCTTAAAACATGCTCTATAGGCAAACGTACAAAGTAGTTCTGATAAATATTATCCAAAATTCTCACTAAGCAATTTCGAAGAGAGGTAACCGAGAAAAGACAAAATGACGTAAGGGAAGTAACAAAACTAGATCTATACTATACGCGAATCTTACTTTTTTTTCGCCCAGACACAAGATTTTAGGCCTTGTGTTGTTGCTAAAATTGACCTAATGTTCTTCAAGTAAAACTTATAGCCCATGGTGCATTTTTATCCGGTTAAACCGTTCAACTGAGCGGATCCCCGGTTAAATAACTTACCTACTACTACTAGATCTATAATGTGAAATTAATTAAAATTTGTTTCCTTGTTTCTGGATTTTAGAAGACCTTCCCACTCACCGCCAAAGTTCACTTTGTAAATCATTTCTCCTTATGTAGCCTATACAAAGAGTTTAGAACTACTTTTAATCTCCTTGAGCCTATATCAGAGGTTCCATACTGCATTAACAGTTGGGTTTTTTTTCCTACCCGGTTTGACCGTTTTTGGATTGCGATTTTGGCAAAATCGTGACAAAAATATGATCCACAAATTTCACATTGTAGGGTCTCTGCCTCGATATAATTATTATTGCGGTTCTGAAAATTATGGAAACATAATCTAGTGGGCTGCATATTTGTGTTTCGTTTTAAGCCATCGCTCAAGGACGCTACGCATACTACCCCCTTCCATATATATATGAGTGTGGCCTCTGAAATAAGATTCTGTGTTTAAATATCGGTGTTTGCTCTAGTGGATAAAGCACTTATATGGCATTAGAAAGGGCTGCATTTTTGTGCTGAGACGCACACGCACACGCACACGCACACGCACGCGCGCACACACACACACACACACACACACACACACACACACACACACACACACACACACACACACACACGCACGCACACATACAAACCCGTGACTGTAACTATTATTACAACCTTCTATGCTTGTGTGCAAGTTGAAAGAAAGTCCATTAAACAACGTGTGAATTCATTCGCATGAGTACCTTGTGCCTTGTGTCACAAGTGATAGATGGCATCATGCTAGGTCACATTGAAGATTTTGTACATGAAGAGCAGGTGGAATTGATAGAAAACGCCAAAAGTACACCTTGAAGATTCATGCAAATCATCATAATCGTCTTGTTGGCCAAGAGCAAAGGTTTTTATCCATGTCGTACCCTCTCTTTGTCATTTTCTTTTTTCACATGTGAGATTCCCACTTGGCCTGGGTGATGTTGTCAGACTCAAAACTCACATTTAATTCATATAGGCATAGATCTTTTTTGGCTTATATATCGACATGTTCTTTCCATCTGGCACCATATTAATTCATTTGAATAGTCTGACATACAAGGCAAATTGTCCCGGACTAGTGCAGGCTGTTTTGAAAAACCGATGAAAGCTCCGAAAAATTACAGAATCAAGGATCAAGAAAAAGTTTTCCACAGCTTTGCTGGCAATAGTAGGAGGGGACCTTCGGAAGCATGTCCACAAATGTTAACAGAAATTCCTTGGCTTGCTGGCCCCTTGTTTATTGTTTGGTGATGCAACTGGCTGCGACTCTTCTAATGCACTCTTTGCAAAGCTGGAGGATCCAGGTTGTCATTGCAACAAGTGCCCTAGAAAGTAATTCAGGATCAGATAGACAGACAGAGTCACCGACGATGAAGTAATTTAAAGAGAACAGTACAAAAGAAAGGAGTGGAGATGGATTGGATTGCGCACCATCGTGAAATTAAGCAGCTCCATAACAAAGAAATCCACTGGTCAAACGATCAAGTGGAAGTCAACATGGAACCTGTAGAAAAGTCGTTGAGAATGCAGACAAAAGTGGAAAGACACTTGAAGGATATGAAGAAGCTTGCCCCGGGAGGGAGCGGAAAGTGTTTGTCCGTAGGCTACAAGGCTACAAGGTGAGACAGGTGATATGAAACTGGCATGGGCTCTTTTAGAGCATTTTACTATGGGTGAGCTCGGTCATAGCTGATATCAACATACTCCTGCAAACTTTGATCTTCTGGTAATTCTGTTTCAGCTAATAAACCCTAATGTGCGTTTTTCATCTGGGTGTGTCGACTTTGCAGTACTCTTTCGAGTTGAGAAGACCGTTCACACAGGTCTTTCTCTTTCCCTACGTCAAAGTCCAAACAAAGACAAAGATCTAGCTGTTCTGCCTTTGTCTTTCAATAGTAAGTAGTCATTTGATTTTGTTTAGCGATCTTATCTGTGTTTCAATTCATTATTTTTTAATAGTCCTATTTCTTGAATTGTACTGCTTATTGTTAATGCCCCCCCCCCCCCTCTCTCTCTCTCTCTCTCTCTCTCTCTCTCTCTCTCTCTCTCTCTCTCTCTCTCTCTCTCTCTCTCTCTCTCTCTCTCTCTCTCTCTCTCTCTCTCTCTCTCTCCCGGAGGTTTAAAAAAGAAAACACTTCTGTTCGGTTCAACTGTTTCCATGCTGGACGTTCTGCAGCTGTGATGTCCAAAGTGGTTCACATTGATCGGCTTCGCAACATTCTTTTTCTTGTTACATTATTCTGATGTCGAATTAGCGAGCTTTCAATGTCAACCAAGTTGGGTTTGTGATACAGCACGAAAAAAAAGTACTTGTAATCTATACTATACTACGTTATCTTTTAGCAAACGAACAAGATCAAAATTGTGTAAACTACCAGGCGTACTAAAAGTGCACACGCATCACACATTCGAATTTAAAAGTACAGGTAATTGTGAAACAGTACCAGTCCTACATTTATGAAGCAAGCATTTTGAAATGTGACAGAGACCTTTCACACAAAACGCATGCTGTCGACGTCATTTAACCCTATCCGTAGGGGCCTACGCCCTGGGGTCATTTTGTACCCCCGGGGTTGTATTCTTCACATTTTAGAATACTTCTAGTACGAAGATCTCTTTGAAACTTTCAATATTTCTCAAAAAGTATTTTGACAGCCTGCTATGCAAAGCGTACAGATCGGATTAACGAGTAAATTTCCTCTTTGGAAAGTGGTGGCACAGAGTCCCCCACGTCGTATGGATACGATAGTAAAACACAACGTATGGATAGGGTTAAATTAATTATAATCTACGGCCTATATATTACCATGAATACTGACCGACCATTGTGTTTGACAACGCAGTCGACAATATTATTTCAATTGTCTAAAGAGGCGTTCACGGCGCCAACGGTCAGCTCCGCGAGTCATAAACCGACTGATGAGATCGTGAATTCTACACAGGTGTGGGATTCACGGTTTCATCAGGCGACTTTTGAGGCACGGTGTTTATTCACGATTTTCTTATTACGTCAGATTATATGTTTAGGTTGAAGAAAAATAGTTTCACAGGGACATGTATCTCACCAAGCACTATCAAAATATACCCCAAAAAAAACCCAAACGATTTTCGAAAATTTGTGGAATTCACGGTTTTATCAGGCGGCCGACGACATGACGGAGCATTCAGATGCCTAACAAATTATGTTATTTCAACTAGTGAGAAACGGCAATACTAAATTTTATTGTTGTTATGCATCTGACAAACTGATGACTAATTATCTTTCACTCGTGAGAAACAGAGGTAGGCCTACTTGACATTCCAAAAAAAAAAAAAAAAAATATGGCCTAATAGGCCAGCTCTATTGGGACTCGAGTCCGAAGACGTAATGCTGGACTCAATTCAGAGTCCGAATATAATTTTTGTCTATCGAGTCCGAATAGTCACTTCGATTAAAAAAAAATATCGGAAGGCAATGAATAAATATGTTATAAAGGAAAGATGGCCATGGGAACAACGGTTCTGAGAATCTGAGAATACTAGGTGCGCGAGTGTGTTTTTGTTTGTTTGTTTGTTTAGTATAGGGTTTTACGGCGCTCGCAACTGCATAAGGTCATATGAGCGCGCGGGACACACCTAATACTTTTTCGTAGGTAGGAAATTTTGAATTTTGCCCGGGTGGCGGCCGAAGCCTACTCTTATCGATTTTAGACCACCAAGGGATCTTTAACGTGCGCAACTTGCACACGGGCCCTCCGAGATTTTTCGCCCTTGTCCGAGAAGGCTAGGTGTAGATCTTTCCTACCAGAAGATCAGGGGTGTGGCAGAAAGACAGCAATTAGGAGGAGCCAAGGAGTAGCAGTAGAAAGGCTGCAGAAAGAGTCAGGAGCCCAGAGGAGGGGGCAAAGGAGGTGAGGGGGTGGGGGCAGAAAGTGGAAATGAAAGCAGACAACAGAACATTGTTAGAGATCAGGAAAGGAGGTGAAAGGAGACAATTTTAGAGAAGAAAATTTTGGTCGCTATCCGGAATCGAACCCGGGACCATTGAATGAGAGGCCAACACCTTAACCTCTAGGCCACGAGAGCGCCCGAGTGTGTTTGACCCGCGTTACCCAAAAAAATGTTTAAAATCTGCCCAACGTGATTGTACAGAAAGATTTCTTAGAGAGTCTGACAAGACAAAATTGTAAACACAGATCGACCAAGGTACTTAAAGCCATCACGAGTTCTTGCGTTATTTTCAATGCTCTCTCTACTCGAACGCATAGGCCCACAGACTGGTGACAGTTAATAAGAACACCTTTACCGTATGTGGGGTGAGGTAATACATGTACAATAACCCCCCCCCCCGACTATCGTTTGTTGGGATAGAGAACACGATGAATGTAAGAAGAAAGAAACACATGCACCCGAAAGAAACGTGTATCGGTTTAGATGACGGTCTACCGCGAGACGTCTGTCTATTATAATTGGCCTAATAAGTCCCGCCCTCATGGCGGTCAAGCGTA